GAGTGGGCCAGCAAGTGGCAAGGAAGCAACAACTGTTGATACAGAGATGTGATGGGAAGAGGCAACTCAATGCCAAAACACAGACTTCTGCTGGCAGAGGTTGGCTGGGTGGGGCTGCACACGGCCAGTGAGCTGTGGGCCAGAGTCCCAGGGAAGCAGACAGGGTACCAGCAGATGCCCTGGAGACCTCTCTCACACTGGCTGCCTCGCTGGCCAGTGCAGTCATAAAATTAATTCATGAGCTGCATGGGCATGGGAGAGGGAAAGTATCTGTGCTAACGAGTAATCACAAAGAAAAGAATTAATGACATATGAATATTTAACTTCCAAGAAGACGCCTGAAGCTTCCTGGAGCCAAAGCATGTGGTGAGGACCATGGGCTTGGCGAGTAAGACTGGCCGGGCCAGATCCTGGCGTCCCATCTACTGTGTGCTCTCCTCGGAAACTACTGAGGACAGAGGAGAGTACGAGTTGGCGCCTACTGCTTAACCTTGCGGGGCTCAGTGTCCCCCCTGGTGAAGCAGGGGTACCGATGGAACCTGCCTCCTCGGATTGCTGTGCGGTTCACATACGAGAATGGCTGGCCCCATGGTACAGGCTGCTGCATACCTTTGGGCAGTAAGTGAGAAACAGTGGAAAGCAGGGCTAGGGGCTGGGAAGTAGCCACGGCCACGTGGGATTCCGCCTGCCTCCTGCATCTCCTCCCACTGGCCTCATAGCAGACAGAGACACCCTCTCCTGAGGGCCTCACCTCCACCTCAGAGAGGAAGCCACAGTGAGTTTCTCAAAGCCCTGTTGGCTATTCCTCTCTATATTTGTCCCAATTTTGTTGAAACCCTGAACACACGGGCCAGAGATAGCTTTTCTTGTCAAGGTCCATGGAATGGTGGGAAGAGCCAGCCACCGACTGAACACTGGGACGGGAGGGCTGTTCGGCCAGTCCTCCGAGACTCTCCCACCCCTGTAGACAGATGAGGCGCCCCTGGCAACAGAGAGCAGAGGTCCAGCAGCTGGGGGGTGGGGGCTGGGGGCCGAGGGCCGGGATGGATCCCGACAGCTGCTGGGAGAACACACGTTCTTCTCCCTTAAACCCATGAGTTGGAAACCTCCTGTGAGATGGGTCTCGGTGTGCAGGAGCATTTCTTTATGACCCCGACTGTGGAGGCTTGAAGGGGAGGAGCACAGCGGTCTAGTGGGGCCCAGGCGGGTTCTGCCGTCTGCCAAAGCAAAGCCCACCCTGGGCTGTGAAGTGTCTGACCGCAGGGAGAGCTGCAGAAACACTCGCAGTGCTTAAAGGCGTGACTTTAAAATGTGGCATCTCATGGTTCACGAAACAGTGATGGAAACCACAAGTGGACGGTCCTCCCTACCTGGGCCTGCAGTGCTGCAAAGTCCCTGAGCACATTAAGGCACGGCAGAGCCCAGCAGCAAACATTTTGGCTTGATTTGCTGTTTAACCCCGTGTTTCTCAAACATACTTGGCCACCGGCCCTTTTGCTAAGGAACAAGTTCTTTCTGTGGGACATTGCTGGGCAAAGAGTGAGTCAGGGCCCCCTCCCATGCACACTGGCCTCTGCAAATGAGAAACTCGTGTGGCGAGCAGGGTGCAGGCGGTTCGAGCTCCCTGTGTGCCCTTGGCCAGACCCTGAATGCAGCAGCCTGCCTGGGAAAGGACACACAGCCCCCGGGGCGAGCCTCAGACCTCACTGACCAGGGCCTGGAGGCCCATGCTGGTTACTGTAGTCTCACCTCAGGGTGAAGGCCAAACCCCTGAGGGAGGAATAGGGTGCTCTGGCGGAGAAGGTCGGAGGCCATGTCTAGCCTGGAAGTTTCTGTATGAACCAGCCATCATGAAGGGCCACTGAACAGCCCTGGGCTACCCTCAACACAGGAGCCCAACACAGGAGCCTCAGATCAGCTCTGGGAAGCTGATCCGTGTTGCATTATTTAAAGTGTGAGGAAATGCTGAGAGACTACTGTTGTACATCTGGCTTTTCTCCTACAGCCAGCCCCCCACCACACACACACACACACACACACACACTTCACCAGCACTCATTGCAGCAGAAGTTAATGATCATTGGGAACAGCAGAAGGAGACCAGCCCGTCCATCCCAGCCGTGAACTGCATGGTTTAGAGCAGGGGTGGGCAAACTTTTTGACTCGAGGGCCACAATGGGTTCTTAAACTGGACTGGAGGGCCGGAACAAAAGCATGGATGGAGTGTTTGTGTGAACTAATATAAATTCAAAGTAAACATCATTACATAAAAGGGTACGATCTTTTCTTTTTTTTTTTTAGTTTTATTCATTTCAAACGGGACGGATCCGGCTCGCGGGCCATAGTTTGCCCACCCCTGGTTTAGAGTCTGACTGTCTGGCTTCTGTCCTCTGGCTTCGGGGTGGACCAGTTCTCCTGGCAGATGCATATATGAACTTTATGTAGATTAATTCATGATTTCAAAGATGCTTTGAAGCTGGCAAAACATTCTGTTATTTCCAAGAGTTATTATAACTGAAATCCTGGCACAGACTGGAAGGTCAGCCTGTAATCTTGTTTAGATCCTTTTAAATTCAGAAACTTTACAGTGGGTTAAAAATAGATCGCATCTGTGTCCTTCTGCTCCTTTCATCCCCGCTGCAAAGGCTGTGCAGTGATTTTGACCTACCCTCGCTATTAGCCAGAGAAATCTTAGCACTTGGCAACTGGGAATCTGTGGAGCCCAAACAAGTCATTTTTAAATGCAGATTGATGCAGCCATTGTGGAAAACAGTATGAAGTTACCTCAAAAAATTGAAAAAGCCTTATGACCCAGCTATTCCACTTCTGGGAATATGTCTGAAGAAACTGAAACACTAATTCGAAAGAATATATGCACCACTGTGTTCACTGCAACGTTACTTACAACAGCCAAGACTTGGAAGCAGCCCCAGCTGGTTTGGCTCAGTGGGTAGTGTTAGCCCACGGACTGAAGGGTCCCAGGTTCGATTCTGGTCAAGGGCATGTATGCTGGTTTCAGATTCAATTCCTGGCCCTGGTCAGGGCATGAGAAGGCAACCAATCTATGTGTCTTTCTCACATCAATGTTTCCCTCTCTCTCTGTTTCTCTCCTTTCCTTCCACTCTCTCTAAAAATCAATGGAAAAATACCCTTGGGTGAGGATTAACAACAACAACAACAACAACAAAAGATTTGGACGCAGCCCAAGTGCCCATCAGTAGATGAGTAAATAAGAAAGCTGTGGTCCATTTACACAATGGAATACTACTCAGTCATAAAAAAGAAGGTCTTACCTTTTGTGACAGCATGGAGGACCTGGAGTTATTATGCTATTGAAAGAAGCCAGTCAGAGAAAGACAAACACCATATGATTTCACTTACATGTGAATCTAACGAACAAAATAAACTGACAAACAAAATATAAACAGACCCATAGATACAGAGAACAGACTGACTGACAACTGTCAGAGGGAATGGGGGTTGAAGGACTGGGTGAAAAAGGTGAAGAGATTTTTGAAAATGGGTTTTGGGAGTGATGCTCACCACATGCCTGAGCAAAGTTGCTCATTATCCTGCATAATAAGTTCTAGAATTAATAACAGCAGACTGTCACTCATTAAGAACAGCAGAATAATACATGGATTCGTGTGGCATGGAAATGTGGCCAGGCAAGGAGAAACATTTTCAACAGTGTTACCCTGCCCTGGAGGGCTGTGTCCTCGCATATCGACCAGGAAAGATCCCAGTGTGTAGATCAAAAGAAACTGGAGGAGGCTGGAAGGGCAGGCTGCTCTTAACCAAAAGTTAAGTGAAGATTGCACCTGGTTTCAGAAGAGTCAAAACACTGCACGGTATCTTATGTGGCACCCGACAGGTGAAGGAGGTGCCAGCATTTTCCTGCTGGCACAGATAGCATTCCATTCAGGATGACCTTTCAGCGGCGGCTTTACCTTCATGAACATGCTAAATCCAGTCTTCAGGAGGTCGGTGAGGCCTGACGACATGTGCTCAATATCAACAGGATCTGGCCTTTCGGGATCAAATATTTCCTCCACAACCTGCTTCAGCAATGGCTTGTAGGATGCCTGGAAGGACAAAATATTGTGCTGTGAGCAACAGGGTTTGTCTGGAGAGAGGATGGCTTTATCTGCACCCAAGGAAACAAAACAAGGTTATTCCGATACTGAGCAAAGGCTATGAGTTTGTGTGTGAAAAGGCAATTATAACAACATTGGGTATTTTGGTAAATGTTCACCCCAGTACCTCAGCACTAATTGTTGTTTCTCATATTCCTTATAGAAGCAAATCTCTCATCCCCAGAGCTATAATCACAGAATGGCTAGTTTTTCAATCAAGATTGAAAGCGATGCTTTTATGTATGAAGTATACTGGAAAACAAAGTGCTGTCATTTGGTATAGACATAAAGATGGTCTCCAGGTTTTCCTAAATATTGTTATAACTATGCTCCTTCTGCTAGGAACTCAAATGTATGTTTCTTTCCTTCCTTCCTTCCTTCCTTCCTTCCTTCCTTCCTTCCTTCCTTCCTTCCTTCCTTTTTAAAGTCTTTATTTTAGAGAGAGGAAGGGAGCAGAGAAGAGAGATAGAAACGTCGATTGGCTGCCTCCCGCACACTCCCTACCTGGGATGAAGCCCACAACCCAGACATGTGTCCTGACTGGGAATAAAACGGGTAACCTTTTGGTTCATGGGTTGACGCTCACACCAGCTGAGCCACACCAGCAGGTGGGATGAATGTTTTCATACAATGTTTTGTTGCCGTCCAAGCCCAAGGCATTCCCTCCTTCCTCTACAGAGCTCAGCTCCAAGTAGGACTTGGACAGAGAATGCAGCCAAGGTGCCAAAAAGGAATCCAACCAAGGCCAGGGCTGAAGAGAGGGAGGCCACGTGGTACTATAAACATTTCAGTAGAATTTAGTTGAACTTTTGATAAATAATGCTAAATGCTTTCCTTTTCTGTGACCTGAATAACCTATCCACACTTAGTAATACTTGGAGGCAGCTCCTCTAACTGAGCATGCTCCCCACCTTTTTCTTGGTTCTCCTTACTACCAAGCTCCTCCTCTCTTCCCATCAGTGGATCACCGTCCTCCCAGTCCTGCGGCTGCCTCTGCTGCTCCAGTTCCACAAGGCACCCAAGTGTGAGCATAAAGGATAAAGGAAGGAGGAATGACTTCCCTCAACACATTCTCTCTATTCTATCTCTACTGCGTCTGTTATAGGCTCAGAACAGCCAGGCTCCCATGGAGCACCAGTGAGACGTCTTGAACTTCTGTTTCTCTCTTCGCATGTGAGCTGCCTTTAGCACGTGTCCAGGGTATTTGGTGTATTGGCTTCATCTTGCTTTTCTCACTGTCATTTATTTTTTACTCTTACTTTCCCTTTATCCCTATTTTCTTACCTAAAATATCTTAAAAACAAAGCAGGACATATACTATCAAGATCATAAATAATCATTTAGCCAGAATGCAACTGGTGCATTTGGCAGGGATAAGATGCAGGGAAAAATAGCAACTGCTCAGTTGAGGGTGCAGCCTTCTTATGCTTATTAGTCAAGTAGACCATTGCATGCCCAGAGACCTCACAGGTTAATGCTTTTGAAAGTAAAGCACTGGGCAGGAACACCGATAAGACAGAAATTAACACACACACACACACACACACACACACACACACACACACGTCAACCTTCCTCATAATAAAGCTATATCCAGAGAAATTTTAAAACTTTACCATACAGGCAAAAATCTATAGGTTTGGAAATACACTTTTGATGGGGCCATAGTGAACTGAAACTCTCACATATGGCTGATGGAAGGGTACATTGCTACAATTAGTGTTGAGAGCCATTTGGCAATACCTATCAAAATTACAATTGCATTTGACCTAGAAATTCCACTTATCAGAATTTATCCTATAAATATGCTGATATATGTAAATGATGCTAATAAAGGGCTGTTTACTGTTTGTAATAGCAAAAAATTGGAAATAACTCAAGGGCCTATCATTAGGGAGCTGTGTAATAAATGGGATGCATCACAGGAGGGGATGTTATGAAAGTGAAGAGGGAAGTTCTCTGTTGACCGGGCAGAAAGGAAGGTGCAGAATAAAGTGTGGGTGAAAAAAGCAAGGCGAGAAACAGTGTATAATGGGCTGGACTTATGTGAAATGTGTCACGTGTATATTTGTTGGAATACAGAAAAATATAAACTCTGATGTGATATACAGAGACTACGATGAACAGTGATCATGGGACAGGGGACTGGAGAAGGGACAGAGTGGGAGGGCACTTTTCAATGTATTGCTTTTTTAATTTTTATTTTTTCAATGTATTGCTTTTTAAAAACACAGTTAAAACACCATTACAAACAGCAACAAGATTTTTTCACTTGTTGAAAATGAATAGATTGTGCATGGAAGAGAATAGAGTAAAAACACACCAAATGTTAATTAGGGCTAGCTCTAGGTTCTGGGAGTGGGGGATATTATTTTCTTCTTTTTTCAAAATTTCCCAAATTAACAAGTATACTTCTAGAAGGATAATGTAATCTAATATACTTTCAATGTTAAGAAAAATAAAGGTCGTAGGATGACCTTTGAATTCTATAAATCCTCTTCCTTGAGTAAACCGTCTTTAGAGTCCTATCATCTCAGCCTTTCTGGACATTTAATCTCTTAAACTTCAACACTCATCTCTTTAAACTGCTCCCAAGTTACCTATTATGTAGGAGAGACCTCTAAATTCTTTATCAAAACAACTAAGCACAGCCCGGCCGGTGTGGCTCAGTGGATGAGTGTTGACCTGTGAACCAAGAGGTCACAGTTTGATTCCAGGTCAGGGCACATGTCCAGGTTGTGGGCTTGATCCCCAGTCGGGGGGCATGCAGGAGGCAGCCGATCGGTGATTCTCTCTCATCATTGATGTTTCTCTCTCTCCCTCTCCTTTCCTCTCTGAAATCAATAAAAATATATTAAAAAACAACAACTAAGCACAGAATAAGTAACACTGTGCCTTTAATAAGCAAGATTTGGAAAAGACTCGCTCAGGTACAAAGTGGTACTTTTGTGACTTAGCCAACACCTTTCTTCAATTTTCCTCTTTGGGTTTTAATGATGAGAACCTTTGGCTCCTTTCTCTCGGCCACGGAGCTCGGATTGCTTTGTGCTCCGAGTCCTGTCACTGAAATCTGACTGGAACGGACCGCTTTGGCAGTGGCTTCTCAGAGGAGAAACCTCGGATGGTCCTGGAATTTTCTACGCAGCCAGAAGCTACCCGCTTCTGAGAAAGGACCACAGCGAGGCGGTGAGAGGGGACAGGATGTCTTCCGCAGCGCCCTGCTCAAAGTTTCCCTCGCATGCTAGAAAGGGCCAGAGAGGAGATGAGTCGTGTAGTTTGTCTCAACATTAACAGGGTTAACTATAGTAATTTAATTTTCCTAATCAAACATTCCCTGCCAGTTCACCTTTATTGGGGGTGGGGGTGGGGAGAGGAAAGGAATGAAAGACACAGGCATTTTCATCCTTTCCCCGTCTTGCTGGTCATTAATCCCTTGCTTACACCACATCCAGTATGTGTGGGCAGTAGGGGTCGGTGCCTGCCACTGTCACTCAGACACCAGGTTCTTCCACTCCCTCAGGCCCCGGGGTCCCCACCGCAGCCCTTGCAGCTCATCATCAGACGAGGAAAGAGAGTACGGAGGGTTTGCAGAGAGATTTCATGGGCTCTGCCCGAAAGTGATCTGTATCACTCCCACCATAATTCATTGGCCAGAACTAGTCACAAACCTACATTTACCTGCAAGGGACTCTGGAAAATGTGGCCTCACTGTGCCAGGAGGAACAGAAGTGGCGTTTGGGGTTCACATACACTGTCTCTGCTGCACACATACTGTGAAGTCGGATTGAAATATGCATATAATTATTCCCTTTACAACGGACAAGTTGCATGTTGTAGGCAAAGTACTATTAAACCCTTTTCCCTTCTGCATAAGAATTTGACCTTTGGTTAACTTTTTAGCTGTTTCCCTGGAAACCTGATAAGGGAAGAATGTCAAACTCTAGCCAGGCAAGATTGCTTATGATAAAAGTGACCCCTGCTTGGTTAACTGCATTAGACTGGGGGGACTATAAATACTGGATAGAAGGTCAGGCCTTGGGGCTTCTCTGAGTCTAATGACTCCTGCACAACTGGCATAACTGGGCACATCCCTTGGAGGGACGCTGGAAGCTACACTGTGCAGTTGTTCCAGAGAAATTGGCTCCTATGGGAGTCGAGGAACTGTCCCCTCCCCTCCCCCATGTGAGTCTAGTTCCCGCACTCCTGAGCTGTCACCTCGGGACCAAACTGAGTAGCGGTGGTCACAGGGACTAACTACTCCGGGGAAGGAAAATGCCCACTGCTTCCCAGTGGTGAGCTGTGTTCCTGCCTTGGGCAGACTGGTGTCAAGTGGGGGCTATGACCCCAGAGCCGACTTACCCGCCAGGCACACTACACAGAGCCTGCGTAGGACCTGGGAGACTTTTAGGGACCCATAAAAATTCAGTAATTTCTTTTAAAATTAGGAGAAAAAAATACCTTTTAGGTCAAAGAAAATGTTTTGATATATACTATTTATAGATTTGTCTCTACACCAATACAATGGCATAATACAATTTTTGGTATTTTTTATTTTTATAGAGGAAGGGGGCCACAAACTCAAAGCTGCTTAGGGCCATGAAAAGCATAATATCACCTTGTATGAGAGTGTCCTAAGGCTGCCTAAGGTTTGTTAGAGCCCACAGAGACACCGATGGGTATTACATATGAAATAATTACAGTTACAAAAAGTGATCTTACACCAGAAACTCTTCTTCTTTAAATGGCCAGTATCTCTTCTAGAACAAATTGGGCTTTTAAGAATGCCATATTTAATTAAATTATGAAAAATAAAATATTTATGTCTATGCCCATGGTTTTTCTTTTGTGACGGAGATAATGTGTGATTGGGTCTAGGAGACTTTTATTGACCTGATTCTTGCTCTCGAAGAAAAGTATTGACATAGCAGGAGTTTCTGCCAGTGTACACG